AGACGAGGGAGTGGGCTCGGCTCAAGCGGTCCTTGCATGGTAACAATGCACCTGCACCACAAAGTTTGCCTGTGTTGCAGTCTGCTCGATCGTGACTCCCCAGTACACGACCGATTGACTCTCGATATAGATCAGGCATCATCCGTTTATCTGCTGACAACCCTTGCGTTGTCAACCACGACAAAACTCCCTTGCCTTTCGCTTCCTCCAAGCGGATCAATGCCCTCTACTTTGACGTTTCCTCGCCTGCTACCTTCTGCAAGTCTGTCTCCACCATGTGACGCCCTGCTGCATGAAAAGGTTTCGAAAGGAGAGCTTGGGCTCCAAAGACTTGAGAGTGTTGACCAACTTCACATCGGCTGTATGTAGACAGACGGTGGTTGATGTTCTACGTCAGGGTTTCCACCTTCACTGGGTTTTCCCACCTTCCCTGCTTCCAACAGGTAACTCCTTTGAGGGCGGGGGTTAACTCATCACTTGTGGCAAAGTTTTGCCAATGACTGCCCAACAGCTTTTTCAAGCTTGTCATTGGTGATGACCTCCTCTATCTAGCCCCTTGAGCGAGTCAATCAGAGCCAATCCTCTCGGTAGCTGGGCAAGCCGGGGTAGACATTGCTCAATAGTGTATCCTGTCGATGCTTGCACTGACTTGGAGAACACTAGCGCTTGCCCTGCCACAAAAGCCGATTCTCGCATGAGAACATTGCTCGTGATTCCTTGTCCTCCTTCACGCATGGGTAGGTCCACCTGTGCCCGAGCTGTCCCTTTGAAGAAATCTACCTCCTCGCTCTTCGTCGGGTCTGTGCGTACTTCTTTGTCCGTTGGTATTCTCATGCTGTCGGCCATCTTGCCAAGGACGATCTTACTCATTGCCCACGTCATCATGTTGTCATGTTTTCTAGCGGCAGAGAAAGTGATAGACGGTGCAATCGTCCTCCGCAGAGAACCAACCGTGGCACAACATATAAACGCCGCAGTTGATAGCTGGCTTGAGTGTCGTCAAGAGTTACTTGGCGGAGTATCAATTCCGCCGGGCCACCACGGGCGAATTTGGAAACGAAATTCCTCTGGAACCCTTCTGTCCCTACTGTGGGTTCCTGACTGGCATGCCACCTTCAGCAACTGTCAGACCAATTTTCGTCAGTCGTTGCTGTTCGTCGTTTGTCACAGAGGACATGCAAAGACCTTCCGGGAAAATCACTTTGGATTTCGGGAGACTGAGCTCAATCGCTTTTTGGGAGAGCCGCTCCCGAATCCACTTCGTTACAGTGGATATGTGCCTGTGTGTGCAATCTCCGATAGCTTGGGGCATTTTACCTCTCCACAACTCCTGGGCGTGCAGGGGTGCGATCTCCTACGAAATTGGGCCACATATGCCTGTGAAGCACGGCCATCTGTTGCCGGAGCACAACCAAACCGGTGTGACGCGCGCGTAATTTGGCTTCTTGCTCAGAAGTGAACATATCGTCAAACGGTGCCCTATCGGTCTCGTTCTGGTCCGGAAGGTGCGATAAATATGCGAGACGGATATCAAACTTCGAGCCCGATATTTAGAGCCTTCTTTTCCCTCCTGGAAGATGAAGGGAAGAACGGTCGCGCTTCGCGCTTCGCGGCTCACTATCAACATTTAGGCTCGACTGAGGGCACTTTCATGCCCTATGTACTGCACGTGATTTTTGCCTGGACCGGTTCCGGTATTTCTCCAAAGATTGATGAAACGACACAAACAATGAGATTGACGAAACGAAACAAGAGCCGAAGCGAAAGCGAAACCGCCGAAAAAAAAATGGGATAGTCCTTCATTATTGGAATAGTCCTTTTTTCTTGCCGAAAGCCACGTTAGGCCACCGAACCACCGCCGGTGGATATCCCTATCTCACGGAAGAAGGAAGTCTTGGCTTAACAGCCGCAACCAACAAGATGCATGAGCCTGTATTGTCGTCATGGAGTGTGTGGTGTTTTGTAAACGTTCAACCCCGCCGCCTTCGCTGACGCAAACTGCCTCTCCTACCACACAGTTTGCAGTTTCACATTTCCCTCCGAGCAGGTGTTGCAGTATCGAAAGCCGAGTACCCCCGCCGACAGTAAGCACACGGAGAATGCCCAGAAAAAACTCGGCGTGACTGCTGTTGTTGAAAAGCTGCAGCCGCCATGGCAGCAACACTAACTGTAGCACGGGACGCGAAAACACACCACAGGCAACACCAGCCACATACGGTAATCGCAAGAGGTGAGAATAGACGAGGGAAGCAAACCGCGCCAGAGAGAGACAAAGAGCGAGAGAGAGAGAGAGAGAGAGAGAGAGAGAGAGATGACCGGCGTCGCTATCACACCACATCAATGATAGCGTCCGTAGACCACAGATAGCTCGACCCAACACCCCCCCCAGGGTAATTCCAGGCTTTTCCAATTCCCCCGCTTTCCTCCGCATGCTTAGGAAGTGAAATATACCTGGTGCTTGTTGCATGTGCCTCGTGAAGCAAAGCAAGCCGATCAAGCTGAGCCTACCCCTCGCCGTGAAATCTATACTCCAAAGCGCAGCCGGCCCACGCGAAACAAAACACACAACATGGCCCCTCTTCCCTCAGAGGGACCGAGAAATTCCCAAACATTTCCTTTGTCAACTTGACGCATGAAACCGTTTTTACAGGTGAGATGCATGCTGACAGAATTCCTCTCCCCAGGCGAGCTGAAAGGGAAACCTTGGTATCTACAGTACATATGTCTGGTGCAAATTCGAACCATGTCCATTGCTAGACAACCGCCGTTGCCAAACATGTGCGTCTGCGCGCGTCGCTCATGGTTGACCTTATCGGAACCACTCTGCCCGCTGTTGAGACGAGAGTTAAGTCTCTTGCTGACTACTGCGCCTTTCCAATTCAGGCCCGATGACACTGCCTCCCTAATGCCTTGACTGCTGATGTTGAAAAGCTTGTGTTCTGTTCCAAGACCCCATGCAAGTCACCCTCCCTCGATTCGCCCATTAGTGGCGATGGGGTAGAAGTCAAACCGAGTCGACCTTAGGTTTCGGACTAACTTGCGCCCAGTAACTTGCTTACATCTTCCCAAATAATTGACCTGCCTTTCAAAGGAAGGTTCGATGTGGACAAGATGGAAAACCCTTGCCCAAAACTAAACAAAGGCGTGCAAAGTAAGGGTCCATGTGGACAAGATGGAAAACTCTTGCCCAAAACTAAACAAAGGCGTGCAAAGTAAGAGTCCATGTGGACAAGATGGAAAACTCTTGCCCTCATATGAAAAAGGCGTGCCTGAGAGGGTCTATAATGAGCGAAAGATCAACACCTTCTGTCCTGCTAGATACCACACGGGATAGGTTAGCCCGCGCACTATCGGTCGAGCCCGACCAGGCTGAAAAACTCAGCCCTTGTTCTAGAGTCCGCCTGGAAGCAGCCGTTAACGCTGCTGGTCATCGTGGTCGCCCCCTGCTTCTGCACGCCTCGCATGACCATGCACATGTGTCTGACAAGATATTTTTCATCACCAGGTGCAGGCACGAAAAAAATAACGTAGCGTTCGGGACGATGAGTAAAAAAATGGTGTGTTGGCAGTGGGAACATGTGTCGTAGCAACGCGGGTGGCAAGATTCGCGTACGTGACAGCCTCGCTGCCTCCAGATAGATCGGGGTCGTACGTTGCGTGTTTTGCGAGTGAGGAATGCTGCAGTCATCTCAAAAACATCACAGCAGTTGCTTATTCCTAGGTAAGTCCATTGGGGTCACAGCAGAAAGCAACATTACAATAGGCATGGCGGGTTCACTCCTGCGTATTGTAGAGTTGGCGGGCGGGGGAAAACACGACAGCAGCTTCACAGAAACGAGTAGACGCCAAAACAATTGGTAGCGGAGTCAAGAACATCGGAGAGTCACCGGCGCTGCAAGCTGGTGACGGATCCCGCGCACTTATTCCTGAAGCCCCCTCACGGTTTGATTGACTCTTGCGGTGTACTCCATCCGGGGAATAAGAGGGTGAACGTACAAAGGAAATTCAGAGAACGGCTTTTTCACGCAATGATTACCTTTCCCCGGCAAGTTTTGTCTTCGACGGCATTGCAAACAAAGACCAGCAACCCGCCCGGCCAAACCCGAACTCTTATTACAAAAAACTTCGTCATGTACCTAAGCTTCAAGAGACCAGTGCATCCATCACCCCAGACAATAGCAACGGCCCACCCATCCAATGCAAACCATAGCACATCCGTGCATGGCCGACACGACACCACCCATTGTATGCGGAGAAACGCAGCACGACTCACGATGCCTCGACGACCACCCCCACTCCCAGCGGGTTGACCGCTTCTCGAATGGCTTCCGCGATCTGACGCGTCAACCTCTCTTGCACCTGCAGCCGGCGCGCGTACATGTCCGCGATTCGAGCCAGCTTGCTCAAGCCGATGATCTTCGGTACACGGACGGACGGCGAAGGAGAGAGCGAGCGTGTCAGCACCGAACACAAACAGCGGCACTTGTGCGGCAGACATGACGTACATATGCGCTAAATACGAAAAAGATGCATGTGACATACAACACGTTTGGGTTTTTTGCTGCATTCTGTCAGCTGTTAGAGTTTTTCCATTTTTCTTTGCTCTTTGGTACTTTGTGTTTCCGTATCTTTGGATCTACACTTTCCAAGTTAAAAAAAATGTCGCGTTAACAGAGGAGGCACGAGACGGCAAAAAAAAACATATAATCGTTCCACGTTGGACCCGAGATAAAGGCAAACACAAGCCCCTATGTTATGCTTGGGAGGTGTAGAGGAGGATGTTGGGAAGATGTTGGGTACTCATAGTCGTGCATGCCTATGTTGGGTGGCGGGTGAAATAGAGGTGTCGAACAAAGTTCTGATTGAACATCAGTGCTGATTGCCGGTATACATTAGTCTGATGCCGGCCAAATGTCAGTGCGCACAGCCAAAGCCCTCAACCACGCCGGGTGAGGTATTTTCAGTCCCTGAATAGTGCCGGTTTAGCGCTATTGAGGCACTACACGCAGTAGTGCCGGTGAACGGTGAATTTTCTGCGCACAGTCCACACTGAACAGGGACCCCTGATATACATGAATATATTCTACATGGACCTCAACTGCTGTACTCTACTGGTATTTGTCGTACTCATTGAACCGGTTGTCCAACTCGTATCCTCGAAAACCTTTTCGTGGCCAGGATGAGGGGTTCGAATCCCGGCGTAAGCGGGGTTCTGCTCCTGGTCTTGGTGGGAAACGAAACCACTGCTGTATCATTGAATAATAGTTTGTGTGTAGACTACACAGAGGGAAGATAGTGCTGCACTCCGAATAAAAATAGAAGGCAAGGCACCGCAAGAGAGGTGTGCAGGAGGCCTCAGGGAGAGGGACCCTTCGGTGTGACCACGGGTTGAAGTAAGCGGCACAAATGCTGTAGGCACTGATTTTATGTCACGACAAAGAACAAGGGGGGCCGATGTGGTTGAGTTTCCACAAGAAGAGCACAAGAGCACTCCCTGTTTTTGTGTGTCTTTTAATTATTAGCATCGACCGCGCTAAGCGGCTGACCAATGAAATGACGTCAGTCTTAGTGCGGTTGAAAACACAAAACACTTCACAAAACACTTGTATCTTTCGTGTGTTTCTTTTTCTTATTAGCATCGACCGCGCTAACCGGCTGACCAATGAAAAGACGTCAGTCTCAGTGCGGTTGAGTGTGTCTGTGTGGGCAGTTTATCTTTTACCTGATGGTGCTGAGGTGGCACGCATGGATATTGATTGGACTATGATAGTTCTAACCTGCTGTATACGCGCTCCTGTTTTGCGTCGCGCTGTGCATCGAGAAGGATGTCACTGGCGTACTAGCGAGATGAGCGGGCTTGAACAATTCAACATGCATGCAACCGTCGCTGAAAAAAAAAGTCTCCTTGCACTTTGAGCCACAAATATACACCGGAGCCCCCTACATCACACCGGTGTGGTACATGTAGGCCGTGATTTTGCGCAAAGAGCCCGCAACAGCCTACACTAAGGCTATTACGACGATCGACATCACCGAGGAGATGGACGAAGCACACAACACTGCTGAAAGCATCGCGGCACAGGCTGCCGTGGATCAGACTCCAGCGGCGGCGCCACGCCCATTGACGTCATCATCACAACCCATCTTTTGTCACACCTGTTGTTGTCACCCCCTGTGGGATGGAGTCCTGTGAGTGCTGTTTATGAAACTGGTCACACAAGATATCACACCCCCTGCAGAATACCACACCCGTGCGACGCTTCTTGAACCTCCGAAAAGGTCATCACACAGGTGTGGTATCTTGTCACCTATAGAGGTACGTACGTACATTGTACTTGCCTTTGATCGGGGGATGTAGGCGATGTGAACCTTTCCGGTGAATGGAACCATGTGGTGCTCGCACAAGCTGTGTATCTCGATGTCCTTGACGAGGATCATCTCATGGTGGTCCTCTTCGAACACGGCCTCGTTCACGATGTCGGACAGGCTCTGGCTGTACCCCCGGGTGCACGCCAGCAAGGCCTTGGCCATCCTCGAGGGAGTCTTGACCAAGCCCTCCCTTGACACGTCCTCCCCAAGGCATTCCAGCAGAGTGGAGCAGGCCTTCTGCATCTTGGCCAGTCGACCCTCGTCGTCGTCCGCCAGCGCACGTCGCATCTCTTCCGCGCGAACGTCGGGCGCGCTGCGCCTGCGCTTCAACCCAGGCCCTGCTGACCCTACGCCGTTGACCGCGCCCTTGCCTGTTGATGGGGAGGACGCAGGGCCAGCAGAGCCGTTTCTTGGCGGCGCTGCTGCTGCTGCTGCGGTTGAGGTAGCGGCGTTATTTGCGGGCAACATGTGAACGTATATCTTGTCCTGGGCGACGAGTTGGCGACCACAGGAGGCGAGAGGGGTGGGAATGTCGGCTGCTGGGCACGGACTGAGTTGTAATTTTAAGGATGAGTGCGTAAATGCGGGATTCTCGAGCTCACGGCGGTCATGATTGGTCTGTCGGCGACACCTCTTCCGGCCGCCTTCGGCTCCAGCTCGCCCGAAATCACGCCGCATTTTTCTTTTTTTTTCTTGATTAAGTGGTGGGGCAAGGGATACCTAATGTTGGTGATAATTTGCGGGCCTCTTTCTCTCCTATGAATACATAGACATGTTAGTCATGTGCCTGGGCGCCAGAGTACTGTACACCTCTCTCGGTATAGTCCAAGTGGTCTGCTATGTTTGACGTATTTTAATAGCCGGGGTGGGGGGAGTGTTGCGTGGTGAGCGCCGCCGGCGTGAGGAGCTCGTCTGCGCCCCACCGAAAGGGTTTCGATGGACCCAATGGACCTCAAAGCGGCCACCAAACGATCGTCGTGTGAAATATAATGAGATAAACCAGTTGTTATTTCTGGAGAAAAAAAACAAGATTTGTTCTGCATCTTTGTTTCCCCCTGAGCGGTCAACCGCGCTACAGGTCTCAGACAGACCACCAGGCAGGCGATCCTCTACATTGCACCGTCCCCGCGTGTCCTACCATTGGTACACTACAACACACCGACCCTTCCTAGGAGAGGCGAGGCAATTCTGAGTCCAGCAGCAACAAACTGCAATGGACGCTGCGCTTATCGCCCCTACTTTCACGACAAGATCAGAAAGTAACAACAGTCTACATCAACCGATCTCGAAGTGATCATCATGTATGTGAATCTGACCTGCCCCCGTCCGTTGGAATGTTTCCCTTAGCAAGCATAGTCTACCAACAAAAAAAAAGATCACGGCGCACCCAAACTTCCCCCTGTTCATCTGCACCTGCCCATGTTCAGAGGGGAAGAGGGCGTAAGTTACGTGCGTACATAGACTGACGCACAGCATTGACGAGGCGGGAAACAATGTGTCAGACACGTCTAACACTTTATATACACGCGCTGTTGCTTCCCCAATAGCAGCGGCGGCGGCGGCGGCGACAAAACGAGCGCTTGTTTCATGTTCTCGAAGATGCTGGAATGAAACAACAACCGATGCTACTCTTAGGCACATGCACCCAAGGAGCCCCTTCACTCACGCCCACAAGAATGCGAGTAGCCGTCCAAGCGGCATGACACTACCCCTAAATTGATCACCGCGAAACCCTACACACACAGAACAGGCATCAGCATCGCACACAAAACAAGAGACATGCAGGGCGCCCACCTAACCAACCTAGAACCATCTATTTATACGAGCGCTAGCAACCACATCAAAAAGACAAAAACGCCACCTGATACATACAATCACCAAAAACCGTTGCATCGGCAGGCATGGTGGCGCTGGGCAACGCACAAAACCCAGAGAGGAAAGGGCAAGGCGCGAATTCGAACAACATGCATCAACAACATGCGTTGGGCGGGGTGATCTTGTCACAAAAGCCGGTTATCAAGTTCAAAGATGTTATGCTGGCAAACATGTTATGCTGGCACTCAGTCACAATTATATCGGACAGACAACAGCACACGTTTCACACAGCCACCAAAATACCGCCCGAAGCCCGGCCCGTGAATGACTCTTCACCCAGAATCGCTGGAGGGAGGGTGCGTGCCCGCCAATACCAAACAACGGCCACAGCAAACACGGCCCCACGCCCACAGCCTCCGCAGCAAGGTTAGGGGTAGGCCTGACAAACAGACGCACATGTCACACATACGCACCGGGACCATCAAGATTCGATCGCGCGTGATACTGATGGTGGAGCCCTATGAAAATACTCGTCCTGCTGAACCAACCCTACCCAATACTGGCCCCTCTGCAGGATCTCGACAACTGATTGTCCTCTCGTCTTCTCCCGACTGGTCCGATCTCTACGCATCTTTTTCAAAATAACTTTTTTTCTAGATTCCACAGGGGTCAGTCGCATGTTCACCCACTGCGCCTTGAACGGTTTCGGAGAAAAATAACCAAAATCGTAAGCCCGGCTGCAAAAACGATTTCAAGCCTGACCGTCCCGCGACCCCCGCATTCCAGCGCGCCACACATCAAGCCACCCACCGGTAAGATCTGCAGCATGCAGTTTTCCCAGACCCTTCTTCGCTCGTACACAACTGCTGTAGTCCCACCCCCGCTTGTTTGTGAACTGCACCGAATGGGACGTTGATATCGTGTAACGAACCTGGCCCTTGCCAGTCGACTTGTTCCCGCAAGCTCAGCCAACGCCATTCTCAGCACTGTGCTCAGAACCGTTCTCAACATTGTTTCTCAGCACCGGTTGGAGCACCACTCTCAGCACCGTTCCAAGTACCGGTTCTTCAGCGTACCACCGTTCTCAACCATACGTTGACAGGACGCCAACGATGGCGGCGTCATGCCAGGTTGTCTCCAACTGGTGCGGGTGCATCATCCGCGATCTTTTCCTCCCCCTCGCCGTCCTCTTCGAAACAGCGCGCCCTGCAGTTGGGACAGCTCGCGTTCACGGCCAACCAGCTGTCCACGCACTAACAATTTTACACAAGGGAGTTGGTGGGTTAAGGGTGGAGGGTAATTGAACAAAATATGCCAAGATTACGTGGACCCATGGTCCCGGTTAAATTTCGGACAAGACGTATGCACACGCTACCCCGCCGTGGAACAAGAATCGTCGCGAAGGAACAGACGAAGCATGGAAAGCGTGCTCAAAGTCGGCTCATGCCGGAAACTGGGGGAATTGAACGTCGGGAAACCGAAAACAAAAAATCTGTTGAGTATCTCATCATACGGAGAACAACACAGCAGTCCTTCCTTGATCCTGACGAGCAGACAAAGAAACACATTGTGCCGCACCCCTTGTACATCCAACAGTATATGTATTGGGAACAGAAGGAAAACATGAAAGGACACCCGGCTGACGATCTGGAGGAATTTATTTAACGCTATCTATACACGATAATGCCTCAGACGCCAAGTGCCTCGGACACGCAAGGCTTAAGGCGTCACCTAAACAAGGAGGCATGATCCCGAAGACCACATAAATGCCCCGTAAACCACAAGAAAATATTCAAACCACCCAATTGAATGCCTCGCTACGCAGGCACAAAAGAAGTCCAATTTTCCATCTTCAAAACTTGGCTCCAGACACCGTGCACTGTTGCCGTCTAACCCTGCCACCGACTGGCATAACAGATCATAAAGGTCTGTAGCTCGCTTAAGTCCTTTGGAGGCTATCATGAGGGGCAGCTTACCGTTTTGTGGAAGGCATGCCGGCAGGGAAGCTTTCTGAGCTCGTCCTCTGCTTCATAGTCCACAATACAAATGGCGCACGCGTCGTCTTCCATGTCTTGCACCTCACGGTACTTGACTGCTCCAAGGGCGTTCGGGGGGCGAAACACGAAAGAACAAAAAAGAAAAGAAGAAAGCGATTGGGCAGGGCAGGGCATATCACATCGGCAACTGCAAGGCCGAGAATAAACATGAAGCACTAGATGGTAGGTTTCAACTGTGTGTGTGGAGGTTCAAAATGACAAGATAGGATAGGATGAGAGAACAACATGAGCGTGCTGGATGCGGCTTCGGAACGGTGTCGCCGCGTACCTGTGGGGGCTTAACTAAACAGCAGTGAGAGAGACAGACAGATCAAACAGACAGGCCGACAGACAGACACAGAGGGAATTACCTGCGACTATATCGACACGCGCCGACGAAACGCCGGGAAATGTCCCCACCAAAGCTCCGATCCGCCACAGAACGGTGCAGGTTAGGTTCTGGTGACGTGTATACCTCAAGGCTTGCCGACACATCAACCAACAATCTCAACGGCCCGTCATCAAACAAAACACGCACACACACACACATACACACGTGGGGTCCCAGATCATGACCCTGAGCAGCATTTGCTGTTCTCAACCGCACTGAAACTAACGTGTTTTCATTTGTCAGCCGGTTAGCGCGGTCGATGAAAGTAACAAAGACACACAAAGACACACAAACCCGCCGTCGATGCTAACAATAAAAATACACACAAACACGGCGAACACACCAACGGGTAGCTTCTCGATTTCATCCTGCCTAGCCCCTTTCAGTCTCTGCGGTCCTTGCAGCATCCCCATCAACCGGATCACGCACGGCAGGCAGAAGCACAGCACTGGCACCAGCAGCATCAGCAGGATGCAGGGCAGGCAGATGTGGATGTACGTGATGATGATGTACACCAGGCACAGCTGCGGATGTCGTCGTCATCGCCGTTGCCGTTGCCGTTGCCGTTGTCGGCAAAGGCCAAACGAAGAAGCGGCGGGATTAAGAGGGAGGCGTGGGGCTGAGTCGTGATGGGCATCAGCGTTGAGAGAAAGCACAAAATCGCAGAGAAGAATCTTGCTTGAAAACAAAGTGATACCTCAATGACGGCAGTCCGTGCCCGGCTGGAATGGTACGGAATAAGAGTCACGCCACCATCAACACGAGATCGATCTGGCCAAAACAGTGGTGCCGCAACAGCGGCACCAAAACTAACTGCAAGCACGAATCGTGTACTCTGAACAAGACGACATGACGGCTTCATGTGCCGTAAACGACGTCAGATATCCGCACCCCCCACCATATTTCAGACCCCCTAATGAACAAGTAAAAACGTCACAATCGGGGGGTGTTTTCTTGCGTCGTACACGGTACGGACACGGTATGTTGCACGCTTCGACACGAGGAAACAAGACTGCACCGCCGGAAATAAAATGGTGGACTAGACGAATAAACACGGAAACATACCACAAATATGTCCTCCCATGAAGCTACACATTAAGTAAGTCACCTGGTAGATCGGCGAGTCCCTCGGGTTGTCACACCTTGGCGCCCAACACCACCACCATCGCCACGGCGGGCAACCATAAGACACGGACAAACGCAGAGGGAGGGACGACGTGAGCAACATCCAAGAGGTTCCAACATCCGGCTTGAGTAGCACAGAAAAACGCCAACAAACAAAGAGAGAGCCCCCACGACATCGGTGGTGCTGAATCGAGGACGTCACTGGTGAATACAGCAGTAGAAAGCCCACAACCGCTGATAATCAATGGCCCATGCACACGAGCGATGTCCGTGATGTACGCCCTACTTCACCCACGGCACTCATGACCCAACCAAACCACCACGATCAAACCTCAACCTGCTTATGGGCATGCATACGTCACATTCCACAAACCGTCATGAAGGCGAAAAATAGGTCATCAACGCATGTTGGGAAAACCAAAACAAATCAGCGAAAAGAAGGCACGGAGAAAACAATGCTGAAAACGAAGCTGTGGTATGCAGCGCCATCATGTGCTACGTAACACAGAATACCCTTGGCTTCCGCAAAATCCGTCACCGGAAGCCCTACCCATCTTGTTCGATTCTACTAAAACCCTGGGCGAGGTGACAAGATCAAAGGTGCAGGCAGGCAAAGGCCTTGGGTCTGTGCCGGCGAATGCTTCGATTTGATCCAGCTGAAATTCGTCCAGGTACCGCGCCAAGGTGCTTAGGGCTTCCAGTGACGGGTGTTGCGGAAGCCAGGGGTATTCTGTGTTCCGTCGCACATGATGGCGCTGCACACCACAGATTCGCTCGCAGCATTGTTTTCTCCATGCCTACTTTGTGCCGGTGTGTTGTGGTTTTCCCATCCGGGTCGAGATATACTGTGACACCTGCACAGTCGCGTGCCTCATCGCCGTCGTAAACTGATACTCCCTACACCAACGACAAACATGGGGTACGGCGTATAGCAATGCTCACCGTATGGGATCTGATTAACTCTTGAATACACCAGCTTCAGAGTTACGTGATCTATCCATCAATTTATCCCCGTTACATCGAGGACATTGCATGGGGGAAACACACGTGTGTTGACGGTATGAACTATTGTACGCACCCTTGATTTTGCAGCAACCACATGTGTCCGATTACGAACCACACGAGCCCGACAATGTCCAGAGAATTCCGCATGTTGCTAGACAGGTGGTCGATTGCCTGGTTCCGGTCTTCTTCCCTCTGACCCTCCACCCTCCATCTCACCTGCGTATCGAGGGAACCACAACACACACAACACGTGCCAAACAGGAGGAGCAGCAGGGAACGTGCAACTTCATGTATTGTAATAGTATAGTCACTTCTTCAAGCCTTTAAACAAACAAGAATAAAAAAGGTGTGCCAGGTATGTTTTTTTCATTTGTTCTTTTTCATGTGGTAGCCCGGGAGCACTCTCACTACCGATATACAGCTGAAGAGACTTCACGATGCGATTCCACTCAGCGGTACTGAATACTGGTACGCAGCAGCCTTGAAGCATTACCTGCGGATCTCGGATGCCTGAACCAAGACGCCTATTTTTCGTCAATCTAGCGATCTGTCTTGCACGCACTAAACAAGCCACCGACGCTGGCACTTCTGCTCTACCATCTGGCATGCACTGCTGGGCACTACTGAGACAGGCTCACCATCACCACCGGGGTAATAAGCATCATCCTCACGACCGATAACAGCGCCCACCACTTCCACTTCCGTCTGTGGTCCACGTCGCAGACGTCTGTGTCTTGCCAGTGCAGGATTAGGATAACCACGCCAGCCGCAATCAGCGGGAGGTTCACGAGGGTGAGCAGGAGGAGGCTAAGCCTGCTAGCGCTCAAACCACGCACACCATCGTCGGCTATGTGCATCCTGGAGGGTGTTGGGTTGGAAAGAGCGGGAAATAAAATAGTCGGTTAGGGGGGAGATAAGAGACGAGGGAATCACCGCAAAATCTACGGCTATAGAGGGAAGTAGTTCGAGCTCATCTCAATGTTCAAATCTGGGCGCCCCGCATCAGAGCAGCGGGGCGTTTCGGGCAAGTCTGAGCTCAAGACCACCGAGGCTTGCCCGCACGCGGACACCGATCGATTGACTCGTGTTCATCGCGTTGCCGACGGGGACAGCTCTCTCTCTCTCCCTCTCTTCGTCACGAATGACCTCCATCCGCCGTCTGTCGCTCGAGACCCCAAGCGGCAGCCGGGATATTTCACAGCGCCATGAAGCGCGCTGCAACCACCCGCTTGCACCTGCATCGACTCCTGTACTGCTGTCGCTGGTTCGTAACGCTCGTTGGACGGGACAATGCCTGTTCCGACCCCGAACGTACACCTATTCGAATGTACTTCAATTCTGGCGGTGATATATTGCGAATAGCGCTGTGTCCACGCATCACCACACCGCTGCTGTGTTGGGTCTCGTCCTCCAACACTCGTCCTACACGCACAGAAACTTCTGATACATACTCTACACTTAAGTCATGGTGTAGTGGTGAGGCCCGTTACATCACCACCGGGAAAATGCGGGCCAACACCTGCTCATAAAGGACTTGATAATCTGGTTCTTGCCCTACTTCATTTACGTACATGCAACATATTTACAGTAGTGCCTTCCACTTGTCATACTCCACAGTATTCGTAACTCGAAGCCAGCAGACTGTGCGCGGAAACGGGACAGCAGCATTGTTAGAGCCGGACAGAAGATCAAACAACCACCGAGCCGGGGGGGGGGGGGGGGGGGGNGGGGGGGGGGGGGGGGGGGGGGGGGGGGGCAAGCGTCGAAATATTCAGCTGGAAATACTCGGATAGAGGACACCACAGCCCGTAGCAGCTGAGGAGAGCAGGACAGAGATGGCACAACGTGTGGAGAGATACGTGCCGGGCTGAATGTTGATGAAGTTGGCAGGAACACCAGCCATACTCGTCCCTCTAACACCAACGCTAACCGCTAACCCTTCGCCTCTTTCATTGTACAATTGTACAATTGCTCCCGAGAAGAGAAGACGATGTCACTAGACGATGTCATTTTGCGAATGGCGCTGTGTCCACGCACCACAGTTGTTTGTGCATGCCTGCATCTGTTTCCGGTGGAGTGACATCAGAACCACCTACAACCATCTAGTTTAGTATACGTGTGGGGAAGAAGGGCTTGACAGCTGTATCACCGGCGGCGAATCGAATACATCCCGGCCTAGTTAGAGGGTACAGGGATAGATTCAGGCGACGCGACTCTTATTCGTGTGCTTTTTTTTTGCCTTCATTGGTGATGTTTGGTTCTCAATTTTGTTTTGCTCGGCATCGCGCACTCCTTCTTTTTGGTCTTGGTCGCTCTGTGTCCTACTTTTCTATTTTTCTGTTTTTCTGCTTTTGTTTATTTCTTTATCCGGGTCCGGTCGCACCCCGGCATGCATGTACGTCTTTCGTAATCTGCTGGTTTCACGTTCGTTTACTAGAAGCTCTAGCTAACTCAAGGGTTCCGGGACGGAGTTACGCAGAATAACATACTCTGCGGTGATTGAAAATGTTGGTGAGAGCGGTTACAGTGGTGCCAGTGTGTCATGCCGGCACAGACTGAATCGCCATCACGTCATTCTGTACTTTGAAATTGAAAGTGACGGTGGCCGGAATAGTGCCGATCAAACCTCTGGGCACATATCCTGCGCTAAGAAAATGCCGAACCAACTTTTTTCACCTGCGGCGAAATTGAAGGGCGGCGGATTTTTTTGGAAAGGGCTCACTTTTTAGGCTTTTGCTCGATAGGCGATCGCCGAAAACGCCGATTTCTGAAAAAAATCGCCGCAAAAAGGGTAGAAAAAAAATCGCCGAAAACAAAAAAAAATCGCCGATTCTGAAGGGGGCTCCGCCGTATCGAAAGGTGAAGTCGCCGATGGTCGCCGATTATATTCACGGTGCCCCGTCTCCCGGTGAGACTACATACACACAGCTGACACGTACGCGCTGTACACGGCTACACAGCTGAACGGCAGTGCGATGCCGTCGCCTCTTGGCGGTATGGAAGCCAGGTTGGATAATAGCAGTGAAAGCGAAGGGAATTCGGAGAAGGAGGTGCAATTTGTCGGCCAAAAGACAAGTGCCGCTGCTGCCGGCAGCGGCGGCAGCGGCAGCGGCGACAGCGGCAGCGGCGGCGGCAGCGGTAGTGGGAGCGGCGGTGCCGCATCACCTGCTGCCGGTGCCCGTGCCAGAGTTCCACCACGGATCTCTGCAGCTGGTTCAGCTTCTTCTGACAGTAGTAGTGCCTCTGCACTCCAACGTAGTGCTGGTGGCCCCACTTCCGCCGAAAGTCCAGAATCGATACCGCTTGAGGTACGAAACGGTCTGATGACTTGGTTCCAAGAGGCGGCAGACGCATCGAAGAAAAGAGCGCGCACGAACAGTGAGAAGCGGGCCGCCGACAAACGTGCGAAGCGGGTGGAGGCGATCGCGAACAACCCTGCTGCACCGGAGCGAGAGGAGGGCATCGAGAGGGACCGTGCGGTCGTCAGCCTGGCCCAACGGAGGCGGGCACATGCCAACGTCGCGGAGGGGGCAGGCAGGAATATCGACAGTCGGGGAGCCATGGCCACGAGAACCCCCAAGAAAGATGCCCAGGTACCAGTTCATGACCGGATCAAAGAGTTCCCGAACCAAACCTTCTACATGATCAACACTGGGAAGATGGGCTGCCGTGCGTGCTTCGGCAAGGAAGTCAGCCTGCACAGTTACCGGGTGAAGGACCACATCAAGGGGAAGAAGCACCAGAAAAGGGTGGCGATAATGCTGGCGACAGATGAGGAGGATAAAGTGAGCTTGCTTGTAGTGGTACAGCAGTTCAACACACCAATATTGTAGACCTCAGCCGTTTGCATGATCTATATTCTCTCTACCTTTTTGCAGTTGTTTCCTTTGCTGCTTCGCTGCGTCACCTTGTCCTCGAGATTGTAGACTGCGCAATCCCACACGCCACAACCAACGATTGGACTACGCTTTTACGCTTTCGGTCCTGCTGTGTGTGTTCGTTTCCTCGCTACAGGGGACGCTCCGCGCTTTCGCTAAGCGCTCCGAGGAGGATGGAGGGAGTTACGGAGACACGCTGTCCGACAAGGACAAGCTCACACAGATCAAGGCGGTGAAAGGTTGTTTGGCGGCAGCTATTCCGCTAAACGCGCTGGGCAACCCTGTGTTCGGGGCGTTCCTCGCGCACTTCAACGTGAATTTGCCTCACTCCGGGCATCTGGCTAAGCACATACCATTGATCCTCGAGGAGGAGGTGAGGAAAATACAGTGAACAATAAATAACAAAGGAGCGCTGTGCTTGCTGTGTTTGTTTTGCAAGACGGTAGCGTAGACGAGTGCATATTCAAAATCTGGGTGATGAACTTAATAATACTCAAACACTTGTGTCCCTGCTCTGTCTTGGTCATTTTCGGGAACAGCAAGCCAAGGTGCGAGGTGAGATTGGCGACCGACCCTACGCGCTGTGCTTCGACGCCACTCCTTACCTCTGCGAGTGCTTCGGGGTTGGGGTTCGGTTCATCGGCTCAAGTGGGCAGGTAAATAAAATGTTCATGTTGCCGTTCGTCCTCGGAGGTTCTTCGTCATGCCAGAGTCCGACGGTATCGATTTCGACGTGAAAACAGTAGGTAAGCTTTGCAGAACCCCCGAAACGACCCAGTTCCTGTGCCCCCTCTCCCGCCGCGTCTATGTTTTGACCTCATCTCGACAGGTGGCACAGCGCGTTCTGCGGTTGAGCATGCTGAAGAAGAGCATGACGGCGAGCGACATTGCTGGTGAGGTCAACCGCATCGTCACCCATGAGTACGGCCTCGACCCGGACAAGTGCCGAGCCATCATGGGTGACAGCTGCGCGGCAAACCTCCTAGCGATGGACGCACTGGCGAAGTTGTTCAGATACGCGATCGTCATCGGCTGCTTGTCCCACACGTTCAACAACATCGGCAAGCAGCTGAGCAGCCTGGATTTGGACGCGTTCCTTGGCAAAATGCACACCCTGCTCTCGCACAGCGCTGGAGCGAAGGCGCTCTTCAAAGAGAAAGTCGGAGTCCGCGCCCCATCGACGCCTGGGCACCGGTGGGGCTCCAGATTCGATCGGGACTACGTGATCGCCATGAACTGGCCTGGAGTGTTGGAGTTCATCGCCGCCTACGAGAGCGGAGACACGGACAAGAGCAAGGCGGCCAAGTTCATGAGGGACGAGCTTGTGCGAGTTCGCGACGACAACAAGACCCAGAGCTTACATCTTCAGATGCAGCTGGCTTTGATGGTGGACGTCGGCCGTTCCGTGACTTCAGCAACTATCGTCCTGGAGGGCGACGAACCATTGGTACATTATTTTGTGAGAAGCAGACATTTCGCGCTTCTTTTTTCTTGTGGTTGTAGTTTCTTTCGCTGCTTCATCTATTTTTTGTACATTCGTATGAATTTCGCTTAGTTTTCCACTCCGCCGCTCTCGGTGCCCACTTTTTGACGATGGCAGGCGCACAAGACTTACAACATCGTGGAGCGGTTCCGCAGCAAGCTCGAGCTGGCTGAAGACGGTGTTTTCTCAAACGACGTTTCCTTGCCCACCGTCTCTGCTCTTCTCGCTAAATACATCGGCCAAGGAGACGACCTGGTGAGCTGAGAGATAATTATTGTGCTGTAGTTTCTCTTCTTCACGCTAGATTGTGTGCATTGCGAGTTGAAGAGGGCACCACACTTACATATATATCCACATCGTGTGTTACTTGCGTGAGAAGTGCCCGCTAGTCGCTTGCCGTCCGCGCGTGTTTTCAAATATGTTAAAACCTTGGCACACCCCCATGCCTTGCGTGTGAAGGGGGCAACTTGTGACTTGCTCGCGAGCGAAATGCAGGACGCGCTGGACCCCCTTCGCCAGTACGCACACGACAAGATCGGACGCCATTCCCAAGCGAGGGACGCCAAGACCTTGGAGGTGTTCAAGGCCGCGAAGCTCACGGACTTCACGTTCATGAAAGGCAGGAAGTACTCCGATGACACCATTCGCACCCTCAAGGTGCTCCCGTTCGTCAAGAAGAAGATGGTCAGGGGGCTGTTGAAGGAGAAGGAAGACTTCTACATGGCGGCCAGTGACACAGAAGCCGAGTACGGCCACATGGCTTTCTGGAACGACAACAAGAAGAAGCTCCCTACGTGGCACGCCTTGGTGTTGGATGTTGCTCTCTTGCAACCATCCTCTGCGTTCATGGAACGAGTGTTTTCCATCCTGCGGTGTTGCTTTAATGAGCGACAAGAGCACGTGTACAGCGACCGTATTTGCGCTTCAGTACTGCTCAAGTACAACAGGGGCCGGGCCCAGAGTAGCTCAGCAGAGATGGGGGGTGGCGCCGAAGATGCCAACAACGGCGGCGGTAGCGACGAAGAAAGCGATGACAGCAGCGATGAAGACAGCGACTGACGACCTGTGTTTCAGTGTTTCAGTTAATTTATCATGTAGATGTCTTACGTCGTAGGTGGGTCAGAACCTGTCGAGATTTACAGTTTTTTTCCCGCACGTAGGGCGGGCGTGCGGTGTGCGGTGGTGGTGCGGTTCGTAACTTCGTAACTTCGAAGTCCATCGTATCGTATTTCATTATTTGTTCGAATTCTGAGGGTTCGGAGTATTGCATGTTTAGTGTTGTAGTGTTGTCATGTCAAGCATCATGGCAGTAGAGTGTAGAGTCAAGCATCATGGCAGTAGAAAAATATGAAAAGGACACATTATTTCGCCTATCGCCGACAGGTGATCTCCGCAGCAGTCGACCAGCCTCGCGACCAGCTCGTTTGTGTTACTAGAAGTACATGCATACACGTCGCGAAAGTCGCTGAGATGAAGTAAATCGCGAAAGATACCAGCCGAAAAAAATCGCCGAAAGTGAAACACGATTCACCGAGAAACGATATGCAGTCGCCGAACGTCGCCGAAAACAAAAGCCGATCACCAATTTTTTTCGCCGAAAAAAAAAAAGGCAAACGCCGGGAAAAAAAGAAAAAGGTCGCCTATCGAGCAAAAGCCTATCACTTTTCCATCTCCCAAAAAAAAAAAAAAAACACGGGGTCGCGCAGCGCGCCCTGTAAAGAGAACGCTACTGCGCTATTTATATCGGGAGCTATACATATGCTGCTACCCTGTACTACTGCTCCCACAGGAGAAACAAATGGCGGCTTCCACAGGCATGTACCGCAGTACTGCTGTAAGTCTAGAGAATGCGCGACGTTTTGCGAGCATGACTTACTACACAGCAGTCAAGAAACATAAAATGATCAATGAACTGAACCATACGTGCCTGACGTTCCTGTTGGTAGCCCTGTTAACGGGCCTTCTAGTCGCCGGCTGCGTCTCTGCCTCATCGCTCCCCGCCTGCTGGATCAGCTCTCCCAAACCAATCCTTCCGCTGCCGCTGTTGCCTTCATTTGACTCGTTGATGCTGGCAACATTCATGATGGCTTGTCGGTTGGTGAGGCTGATGAGGGGGGTGCTCTCTCGTTGGTGCTCGTTTGCCTTCCGGCCAAAGAGGCGGAGATGACCAAGGTGGGGAGACAGCAGCAGCAGTGGACGGGCAGGGTAGGGGAGCAGCGGGGGCTTGTGAGTTGCGAGCCGTGTTGGCAAATAGTGAGGTTATGATGTACGCGCAGGAGGTTGAATGTTGCGTTTGGTGTGAGACCGAGTGATAACCAGCTCTCTCTCCAAAAACACGCCATATGGTATTTATTCTGCAAAGGGACGTCCCGAAAGCAACCAAGCAGGGGCGCCAATACAGCAGGTGCAGCTGCGAGGGTATGGCGAATAACCATCTGCAAAGATGGCAGTCCTATCAGCGGGAGGACGGCATGCGAGGCATACGAAATGTAGAATCTAGGGAGTGTCTCGACTAATGTTGCACATCAACAACCTGCTGCAGCTCGCAGCTGCCTGCTGACGCTGTTCGTGGTTTGTCCGCTACAAGGTAAAAACAAGTATACGGATTCCCACCTGAATCCTCCTTGCTAGTGCTTCATCCGCGGAGATTTGAGCCTCCACGTCTGTCATTTGCCCAACCCCAACCCCTCCTCGGCCCTCGCTCTCTCTTCGCAGCAGTGACAGCAGCTCGAGCGTGCGCACGTTGAAAAACGCCTGTGTGAAGAAAAACGCTTCCAGCGGGAAAGCAGCCCCTGTTGAAACCCCTCCCAAAGGCGGCGGAATCGCCAACGACAGAACACAGAACTCCGCATCTAGCATCGGCGATAGGCGACGGAACGAAAGCGCAAACCGTTCAAGTCTCCAATGTTCTATGTATACACAATGCCAAGACATGACAGGGCTTATTTTTTACTTCCAGTGATGGACAGCAGACACAACAGACGCCGCTCGAGCCGGTACAAATAGCCCGTAGGTTCTTGACCAATAACCAGAAACGGGTATACCCCGGGTACTTATCATGACTTTATTAGGGCGCAGTTAGAAATCAACACGCTTGCACCCCTAGGCTGTCAGCTGATTGGCCGAAAAACCATTGTACCCATTTCTGAAGAAACCTTCATCGGGTACAACTTCCGCTGGAACTAGGACCCTCTGGTGTGACCGATATTGGTTACTGGTGTACCCGGAAGAGGTCAGTTTTGTCCCAGAAATGGTCATATAATCCCGGCGCCCAACGCTCTAGCATAAAACCCGCAGAAAAACCGTGTACCGCACATACCGTGTACCGCACATCCATAACCACAACCAAACCATCAACAACGCTCGCTCGTTCATCGTTCATGGGCACCGCCTCCATAGGATACCGGCTCTTTTCAACAGAGGGTCGGACTCGCTTGACGCGCGAGTACTTCGGTGTGGTACTGATCAGTAAAAGCACACAGAGAGAGAGAAGCACAGAGAGAGAGATAAACGGGCACGACCTGCCTCGTGCATCATGCTTCCGAGGCACAGGACAAACAGGACACAGACAGCGGTCTGTCGCGATCTACGNCGTGTACCGCACATACCGTGTACCGCACATCCATAACCACAACCAAACCATCAACAACGCTCGCTCGTTCATCGTTCATGGGCACCGCCTCCATAGGATACCGGCTCTTTTCAACAGAGGGTCGGACTCGCTTGACGCGCGAGTACTTCGGTGTGGTACTGATCAGTAAAAGCACACAGAGAGAGAGAAGCACAGAGAGAGAGATAAACGGGCACGACCTGCCTCGTGCATCATGCTTCCGAGGCACAGGACAAACAGGACACAGACAGCGGTCTGTCGCGATCTACGGCGGATGCTGTCGGAGATCGGTGTCGTCTTGATTTCCAAGTGTACGCTGAAATGGTGATAAATCTATCGGGTATACCCGTGTCTGGTTACTTCTCTTACAACAAAGGGACCACTAACATTCTCGTTCGCGTGCTCCCCCACGCGCGTTCCGTCGTGCCGCCGTGCGATTTAACGTGACTCACTTTTCTCTCGCGCACCTCTCTACCGTTGAGATTGGGCGCGCTGCGTGGCGATGGATCACTACTAGGGTTTCTGCGCCGACGGTGCTAGCAGTCTGGCCGTGTCGATAAGGTAAGCCAGTGAACTAGCCGTTGCACGAGCTCTTTTCGCGAATTCTCCCATTTTTCATCTTTTTGTGCCTGTTGGCGTTTGCACCGCAGTCCGTAGCAGTTGTGCGGATCACCCTCACCGTAGCTCCTGGTTGCTGTTACAGCACCGCTGCTGCCCAAAAGCACCTGTTCGAAGGCGAGCCCTGACAGCGTAGTCAAGTTCCGGAGCAGTCCTCCGCGCTCGTGGAACGATGAAGGGAAGGTGCGTACCACCCGACAATTATCTGTCTGTCTTTTCGAGACACTCGGACGAAATCGTTCATTCGTTTTATCATACATGGTGGTCCTGACAAGAGAGGGAGCTCACGCCTGCGCTTTGCCGGATACCCTCATCCAAGCGACACGCCTACCGAATCAACCCACCCGTCTTGCCTTGGTGACCCCCCAATTCTCTCCGAGCCAGACGGTCTTCCACAACAGACGTCCAACATCATCATGCGTCCCAAAGAACCAACCAGCAGTGGACAGCCGAGTTATCCCGCTACAAGGGGTGGCGAGCTCTCACAATGTAGCTTGGCAAGAGGGCGTGCCTGCTGTGGCTGATCGTTCGACGATGCCCCAGAAATCCTGTCGAAGCAATAGACAGAAAGCGAGACACAGAACCGACCTACAATAGTTGTACTTCAAGTAATAAGGTTGTAGGTGTTCAACAGCAGTATTTAGTCTCTCCGCCGCTCCATATTGTATGACCACATGATCAGGACCGTGAACGAATTGCAGGTTGGCCACACCTTACAGACAAGAAAAACAACCAATCGACTTGTAGTTCCTCCTTCTTCCTCGTGCTATGTATCGCGAGACGGTTTGGGCGAGGTTTGCAAACTCATGAATATGATACTTATTCATCGCTACATACGGAGGGATAGATTGTCCGATGGAAAAATTGGCTGTGGCTGCTTACCCTCCCGCATGTGTCGTTTGGTGAACCTCCGATCAGAGAACGATACAAAGGAGGGATAGCTACACACGAAGATAGATTGTCCGCCGAAAAATCTGGCTGCTGTGGCTGCTTACCCACGGGCATGTGTCGGTTGGTGAACCTCCGATCAGAGAACGATACAATACAACTACATGTTGTACTCAACGATTTCTCGAAACTGGAAACGACCGTTGTGTGCTGAAACCAATCCTGTTCGCCTCCCTCAATGCCAAAGACGCACTCCCAATGCACAGGCCAACATGAAAGTTTATGCTCACCCACGCATACTAATGTTTTACAGCAGCGTGCGCCACCGCTTGTGGGAACATGGGAGATGGGAATGAAGAAAAAAGGCTCAGAAAAAAAACAAGTATTTGGGACCTTGACCACTAGGCGCAGGTGCTCCGTTCTCCGTCAAGAAGCCTACAGTACGCTGAATATCAATAATGAGATAAACAATTAGTCGATGTTGGGATTCCCCAGAGGGATAATTTAGTAAACAAATAAATAGATGAGCGTCGGCCTCAGCCGAAGTAACAGGTTCTTTGCGTTAGCGATGACGCGTACTGCTGTCCTACCTGGGTAGCCACGTGGTGTAAAAAAAGCACACCCTGTACAAATACAAATGAACAACTTCAAATGGTATTTGTGTGCGGCCGCAAATACCCGTTATTTGCTAGAAACAAATATTAGCGCATGATCTTGACCCAATGTTCGTCTGGAAACAAATATTTGCACACGATTCTGAACGAGTATTTGGCTAGAGATAAGGTTTCACACCCTGTATCAATACTCCATTTGCAACTTGTTTGGTTTGACAAATACTCGTTCAGAATTGTGTGCAAATGTTTGTTGCTAGACAGATACTCGTTCAGAATCGTGTGCAAATGTTTTGTCTCTCGGACAAATACTCGATCAGAATCGTGCGCAATTTTTTGTTTCTAGACAAAACTGGGTCAAAATCGTGCGCGAATATTTGTCTCCAGACAAATACTGGGTCAAAATCGTGCACAAATATTTGCTTCTAGACGAAGACTGGATCAAAATCGTGTGCAAATATTTGCAGATACAGGGTCAAACTCATTGTGTTTGTTTCCAAACAAATGCTTGGGTCAAAGTTTGTTTGTTTGTTTGTTTTTCTCCCATCATTGGACTCTGTCGTCTGCCCCTCTGGCCCCTATCCTCCACTTCTACTAGCTAGACGACCCAACCGGGGTCACGTAGGAGGGGGGGGTTGGACCCCTTCCTGCGGTTCATGCCTGAGATATTTTTATCGCGAGAAGGGTACAGCAATCCCTTCCCTCGCGACTTACGAAGTCGATTATGGTTTACTAACAAACAAGCTTTCTTTGCAGCGCGTCGCTTTCATCCTAGACCAGGATTTATGTAGTGAGAAAAAGACTCTCTCTGCCGGGACTCGAACCCATGACCTGGCCCTTAGCAGGCTGCGACGCTGCCCACTAGACCACCGGGTATTAACCGTGGGTGGCTAGTTGAGGTCAGAGTCCAAAAGAGCACGTATTTGATGTGAGCCCGATAGAGACTCAGTGCAAATCAATATGTACATAAACTGAAACCATGGTATATTCCTAAAAATATGCTAGGAGTACTTGATTTTCGGAGGAGTGGGGGGTGGGTGCACGTCCGTGAAAACAACCACATGATGCCCCCATCTTCATATGTCTAACCACAAAAAACAGGCAACTCTCGATCTCCGACATGAAGAGCGATCTCCCCTACCTACTCCTGCACGACATTTGCCCAACCCGTACGTCACGTTGCTGCGGAGTAATATAAACTATTTGCGCGAGCACCAGAAAACACCTATACCGTACGTCAGCCGAACAATGATGTACGGTATGTCCAATCACCACGCGCAAACACCTCTAGACTGGGATTTTCGACGACCGTGCTCTGCTACGTATACGCATGACGCATATATCGGAGAAGAAGTAAGAGCATGGTTGCGGAGGGCACACTCGCAGTAAATTAGCTATATCAGCAGCAGTGAGATGCAAGCATCCGATATTGTTACGCACTACGCGTACGAATACGTTTGTTGCTCGTGCGAGCGGAATGGGTACAACATTTCACGGCACGGTGGCAAGGATAAGGTTCGACACACCCGATACTCCTATTGGACATTCTACAGCAGTACCGCAGCAGTAGGTGGTACACCGCCCGGTCCCTCTCTCCAGGGAGTTTTTGTTATTCCCAAGCACAAAACAAATCCGTTCATGATTTTGATCGTCGTTCCCATGCAACAAAAACTCGGGTGGGTGAAAACCACGGCGGCGCTACAGTTGTATCCGCATCAACTACGACGTACGTCCAGTCTTTTTTTCAACTCTTGGGATGGAGCACGGAAGTACTGAAGATAAATAGTAGTGAGCGGGATAGGAAAGGCCTGGTCCACCGGCCTGCCGTCCCCACAAACCCGCACCAGGCTCTTTCTTGCCTGCCTCGGTGAACCCCATCCCGATCTCTTGAAACCGAAAAAGTAGTCGGCCGCCACCGCCCATAACTCTACACCAAGCGCAGTTTTGTTTTTATAATTTAGTGCATTGCGGGGACGGCAGTGTTGCCAAAATATAAAAAAAATCGAACGCCTTGAGAATCATCACCGAACAATAGGGCCACACTACACGCCTCGAAAGGCACTTTTATGCTGATGGATATCTTGCCTTTGTATGTCAGGCGTGCGTATCAAACAATATTGACTTGCCCCTCG